TGTTTATTTATACTCTTCGATTTTCCTCCTGGTACTTCGTGACCTACATTTAATAATTCAAATTTACAGCCAAATTTATACTGCAAATAATCAAAATTTACGTGGAAATATACAATCAAGTATGCTGATGTCGATGGTCAAGTGTCAACATATCTCAAACACCCGGGCGCGGGCGTTAGAAATCATATAAAGTTTTTTTTTTTTTACAGAGTTATCGCCCTTAAAGTGAACAGTGACATGTAAATATGAGTCACTCTTTACGGGAGATAACTGTGACAGTAAAAAATCACACAATAAAAGGTCTAAGATTTTAAAATGGAATCTATGTAACGTTGCGATATCCAAAACTAATTATTTATTACGACTTTTTCTTCTACACCTAATTGGGCTAATGAAGACGGGCAACGCCATGCAGTGTACAGTGAGGAGATTTTTGCCAGGACAGCAGCATTAGTTTGATCTTTTTTTATTTCCATCTCGAGGGATCATTAACGTGCACAGCCTGTAGCACATTGGGCCTTGGGTTAAGGTCCCATCCGAACGACTAAACGCTTGTTACAGCCCCTTCGTCCTGCATCACGGACATGGGGAAACTGACTGAAAACTCCGAATATATTTATTCCGGGTAGATAAAAACAAAAGGCAAAATTTGCAAATATCTATATACATATAATAGACATGTATTATATGTACTTCGTTGAAGGTTCCATACACCTACATTTGCTAGATCCATGATGCGTAAAATACTCTGAAGGGAATAGGCTTAAAAAAATAATTTGGTGTGAGCTGAAGATATGAACTAATTTACGACCGGGTCTTGCTGAGGCTTATCCATTCTTCTGTATATTGAATACAGAACTATGTTAAACAATGTTGAAACACATAAGAATACAGCAACAAAACATGCGATTGACCAGTTATAAGTGGATGATCATTTGTTTGCTGTTGAAGTCAGAAATGAAATGCCATTGTTTATGTTTTTTTTTTTTTAAGAATATTTAACGTAGCGACATTGTTGTAATCTTGATGTTGGTATGGATGTAATGTAATGTGAAATTTTATTCACTACAATATGTGGTTTAAAAAGGTAAAATAAACATTATTTCTCTCCTTGAAATCCTCGTCATTTGAACAACTTGACTCTAGTGACAGTTTTAACATGGCTGAGATTTCTCAGACAAAATAAAACTTTAATTTCTGTTATTTTTTACAGTAATACAAACAGAACAATCCTAACAGGTACATAATTAGAATTAATACAACGAGATTTTTTATTTTCTGTGAAACATGGTGGTCTTTAGTCTGGCTTCCAGTCATATATGTACTTTCTTCAATTTCGACTTTTTTCTTAATACATTTTATGTTTCAAGATTTTTGAAGTCAAATTGTGGAACGTGTACAAAACTGAAGGAAATAATAATTTAATTTTACTTGTTCTACTTGTCTGTGTGTTATGTGCCTCTTTATGTGCATTTTTGACCGATATACATATTAAGTTATATAAAGTATTTTATTTGAATTTCCTTTTTAAATTCAATATATGCCGGGGGTATATGATTATTTTTAAAGACCTAGAGTATCACTTATAATTTCGATAGACGGTTGAAATATCAGTAATAATGTAGTGTCTTCCAAATGAAACAGTCTGTTCTTTCATCTGCTTGTTACAGTTGGTGGAGGCCTTCATGACTTCAACGTTATCTGTTGAATTTGACAGAGTTTTAACTTTAATAAATCGCACCTTTATGAAGGCCCCAGTATGTGAGTAAAATACTAGTGGAATTTCAACATAATAATTTAAAGGTGAATGTTTATAATGACAACAATTACTGTACTTACGTATTTCAGTCATGTTTCTTTGATTTCAGCTTTTATTCTCCGGTAAAAACAGGTTATAATGAGACCATGTCATCCCACATTAAAACATTGAACAGTTTAACTTACAGTCAACCAGCTCAGACAATATAATCCAGATTTAAATCAAAACCAATTTAAAATTCCTTAATGTCTTTAATATAACTTTCTCACTGATAACTTGTGTTGTTACAGCATAAGCAACCCCTCTCCGATTTATCAGTTGAAAACGAATAGGTCTCCTTAGGTAACTGTATCACAAAATATCTCTTTCAGATGAAAATAAAATATGTCTTCTTTTTCTGCTCCTTATGCAAACATTTCTTTATTATATCTAGTCATTTTCTTACACAATACCTTCTGCAAATACTTGAAAAACTGAATTTATTTTAATTTCAAACAAACATAAAGTACATTTAGTTAAAATAACTCACGATATACATCATAGCACATTGTTTTCAACATTGTTTAACTCACAATAAAACTTGCAGTTTGTTACAAATATTATGCACGGATACTAAAGAAATATTCCTTTTAAAAACGACAATAGTTTCACGAATTGTATAGTTTAGTGTAACACTTCTATAGTTGCTTTCAGACACTTTATTCAAATCCTACCAAGAGCCAAGGCTACACGTTGAGACACATACAACCAAATCTTAATGACGAAAACAACCTTTGTGGTTGATGTTGGCTAACGAAATTTCTGTTTCTATTGTGTCGTGTTCTCATCACACCTGACGAAGGTGGATATTTTGTCAATGATTTAGGACAATAGTTATTTGGTCATGTTTACTCTCGACATCCCTACCATCTCACCAAATACTGACTTTATTGTTTATTGTTTGAATGTATATGTTTTATTTGTATTTATAGTGTATAGAATTATGTTTATGTAATTTATGCTAACAGTGTTATAATGAAGTTAATTTAATTATTTGTATATAATCTTTAGTCCAAAAATTTGTTTTGAATTATTTTGTTCACTGGAATTTAAATTACATGTATGTTTGATATGATAATATATATTTTTGTAAATAATGAATCATTATATATGGGATATAAATAGCCATCAATCCGATGTGTATTGAACATTTGGAATTCGATTAGTGATGAAAAAGTGAGGTGACGTTCCATAGACGGCATTAGACGACCCAACTAGTTTAATATGTAGTTTGATATGGAGAACTTAACAAATTTTTGATGTTTTACAAATAGTTGTATACACTTACCGACCCTATTTTTGGATTCTTTAATATTTGTATTACAATTCAGATTCTGTTTTAATATTTCTCTATCGCTCTACAATATATGTATTGAGCACTATTTTAACAGTGATATTTATATATCTCTCTACAATTGATGTATTGGGCACAATTTTAACAGTGGTATTTCTATATCGCTCTACAATTGATATATTGTGTACTATTTTAACAGTGGTATTTCTCTATCGCTCTACAATATGTGTATTGAGCACTATTTTAACAGTGATATTTCTATATCTCTCTACAATTGATGTATTGAGCACTATTTTAACAGTGATATTTCTATATCTCTCTACAATTGATGTATTGGGCACTATTTTAACAGTGGTATTTCTATATCGCTCTACAATATATGTATTGAGCACTATTTTAACAGTGATATTTCTATATCTCTCTACAATTGATGTATTGGGCACTATTTTAACAGTGGTATTTCTATATCGCTCTACAATATATGTATTGAGCACTATTTTAACAGTGATATTTCTATATCTCTCTACAATTGATGTATTGAGCACTATTTTAACAGTGGTATTTCTATATCGCTCTACAATATATGTATTGAGCACTATTTTAACAGTGATACTTCTATATCTCTCTACAATTGATGTATTGGGCACTATTTTAACAGTGGTATTTCTATATCACCCTACAATTGATGTATTGAGTACTATTTTAACAGTGGTATTTCTATATCACACTACAATTGATATATTGTGTACTATTTTAACAGTGGTATTTCTATATCACCCTACAATTGATGTATTGAGTACTATTTTAACAGTGGTATTTCTATATCACCCTACAATTGATATATTGTGTACTATTTTAACAGTGGTATTTCTATATCACTCTTCAATTGATGTATTGAGCACTATTTTAACAGTGGTATTTCTATATCACTCTACAATTGATGTATTGAGTACTATTTTAACAGTGGTATTTCTATATCACTCTACAATTGATGTATTGAGTACTATTTTAACAGTGGTATTTCTATATCACTCTACAATTGATGTATTGAGCACTATTTTAACAGTGGTATTTCTATATCACTCTACAATTGATGTATTGAGCACTATTTTAACAGTGGTATTTCTATATCACTCTACAATTGATGTATTGAGTACTATTTTAACAATGGTATTTCTATATCGCTCTACAATATATGTATTGAGCACTATTTTAACAGTGGTATTTCTATATCACTCTTCAATTGATGTATTGGACACTATTTTAACAGTGGTATTTCTATATCACTCTACAATTGATGTATTGAGCACTAT